GGCGGGCAGGCGGCTGCACAGGCAGGAGGCTGCAGGCAGAGTCCATGGAGCAGCAAAGGCCACGTAGCCCTGCATAGGGTCTGTGTTCCAACCACCACGGGGTGCCAAAACACAGACCAGCATGGGCACCTATGGGACCCGGCGTTGCCCTCTGAGACTCTCTCTAGGCCATTCCACAGATAGGGAAGGGCAGAGCCAGCGGCAACAGCACAAGACTTTCTCTCCAGTCAGATCACAGTGTAGCAGCTACAAGACACCCAGCTCCTATCAGCCCGGGGAGTGAGAGTCTGAGCCTCTGGCCAAACCTGCAGGGCTCAGGAGACTAGCTCCAGGGCCACCAGGTCCCACAGACACACTGATCTACATGACCAATTTGCATTTCACCCCGTATGGTATTCCACGTGTACTGGCTTCAATCTCTGTAGGGAAGGGCAATGCAAACACTGCAGAGGTCTGGGCTGAAGGGAACAGGGAGGAATCCTTCCAGCTGCTGCGCAATCTGTAGGCATGAGTGGGGGGGTGGTTACATCCCAACAGGGACCTGGGCTCCAGCTGTCCAGCCAGCAGGGATCACTGCAGATCACGAGCTGGCTCTGGGATCGGGAGGAAGCAGGCTGCAGACAGAGACGTTGGCAGGTGGGGAGGATGCGAGAACATCAGGGAACAGACCAGGGGCTGCAAAAAGAAAGAATCCAACAAGTGAGTGAGGAGAGTCAGTCAGCAACCCTGCCCTTGGCAGAAACCCAGACCAGGAGAAGTCTATAGGGCAAACTGCTCTAGTTTGCTCTCTGTCAGACCCACCACGCCCTGAGCTGGGGATAATGTCCCGCTGGGTGCTTAAACCAAGGGGAGATATACTTGGGGTGCTGGCTCACCTGCATTTCCAGTGACTCAGATCAGCCAGCACCTGTATTCCCCCTGCATAGAACGGGGAGGGTCCCTCCAGGGCACAGATCAGCACCCCCGAGGGACCGTGTCACAAGCTGTGGGGTGAGGATCAGGCTGAGCAAGGTGGGATGAGCTGGGGGATTGTCTCTTTGGGGACAGACACAGGGAGCTGGGCAGCAGTGAGTGGCAGCTGGTTATCAGCAGTCTCAGGGCTCTGGAACGAAGGAGCTCGGTCTGTAGCCATAAATGGTTTGCTGGGACCCTCTGTTCAAACCCAGCACAGGATCAAGGTCTTGGCAATGCCTGGCTGTGCCCTGGAGTGGGGCTGGTTGGGGTAAGTGCCCTGCGGCAGGATTTCCAACAATAGGGCTGGGGCAATGCACCTGACAAAAGGGAAGGTGGAATTGATTCCCTGTTTGCATCCCTGGATCCTGCAGGTTTCCCTGACTGACCTGGATGACTGGGACAGAGATTCCAGTGCTCACCAGGGGCCCTGGACTGTGTCCCCTGGGCCTGGGGAAGCCTGACCACTCCACCCCTGCCAGCTCTACACAGAGCTCACCCCAGCCAGCAGCACCCACACAGCGGGCAGAGCAATTCATTTCCCACTTGCACCCAATCCTTGGGGTCTCTGATGCCTGCTAAGGGCAGCAGCTAGTGCCCAGCAGGCTGGTCCTCTGGGGTCATTGGACTTCATGGAATGAGACCAAGACCCTGAAAACCCACCAGGTCACTAGTGATCTGGGCCAGCATGGGACAGGGAGGGCAGGTCTGTGTCCTATGAGCAGCCCCAGAGACCTCCAGCAACACCGACTCCCTGTGAGGTTTGAACCTTCCTGCTCTGCTCCCGGGCTGCAGCATTAAGTGCAGGTCTCTCTGGTTCCTTTCTAACGCCCCAGAGCAACTCACAGAGACGCTGCATTTCCCTGGTTACTCCTTACCCCTCAGGAAGAGGAAGAGGAGGAAGGCTCCAGTCAGCATCTTCTCCAGGAGGAGCCCAATCCAGAGAGCCGGGCTGGAGAACAGGCTCTGACCTGCAGTGGAAATGCCTCAGATCAGCCCATGGGCAGGAGCCTTCTGCTGGTTCCTGGCCATCCCACCTTCCCACCAGGTGGCTTCCATGGTCTGGGTGAGTTCTCACCTGGGAGCAGCTTCTTGTCAAATGGCCTCTGCAAATTTTTTTCAGCTCTGCCTGGCAGCCACTCTCCCCCTCCCTCGCC